GGACTCCAGGATCATGACCTGAGCCGAAGGCAGTCGCCCAACCGAGCCACCCAGGCGCCCCCAACCCAGTTTTTAACCTCTAGACCATTACTCTCCTTTCCAGTTCTCTGATAACCTTTGTCCAACATCACACAGAATCAGCAACAAGGGGCGCCTGGGTGGCTCAGTTGTTGGGCATCTGCCTTCGGCTCGGGTCGTGATCCCGGGGTCCTGGGATCGAGCCCTGCATCGGGCTCCCTGCTCTGCGGGGGGCCTGCTTCTCCCTCTCTCACTGCTTGTGTTCCCTCTCTCGCTGTGTCTCTGTCAAATAAATAAATAAAATCTTTAAAAAAAAAAAAAAGAATCAGCAACGAAATGTTCCCAGAATGCAACCAGCTGATTCCTAGGCCACCTTTCATTTTACAAAAGAACCCCAGACTCCAGAGCTCTCCTATTCCACCTGGAGTTTCCTTAGGGGCAAGTCAATTTGCTTTGTAGAGTCCCTTTCCTATTTGTACAGGGGAAATCACTGTTCCTACTTCAGAGCTGATATGAGACTCGGTTGAAAAATGGACATGAAGGCACTTTAACAAACTCTGCAAGATTGTCTATAAATACAGAGGTCCAAATTACAAATCACCCCCCTTCCTTCCCTCCCAGGACACTCAGTCAATCCTTTTCAGGTTCTCCACTGAGTTCGGTACCTCTCCACTGCCTCAGAATAACTCCCATTTCCCAAGAATTCTATACCCTGACTTTGATTTGTGCCTTAGGTCATCTCCCCTTCAGCAGCCCCCATCCATCATTCTTTACTGCTCCTCAGAGGAATCATTCCTACCCTCTTGACAGTTCTCTCACTACATTCCATCTTAATCTTCACAAGCTTTGCCCTACCTTAAAACTACCTGCTGCCCCAACCCTTTGGATGAGTCCTTCTAATACACTTAGGATCTCTTTCCCAACCCTTTGGGACCTCCTAACACTCAAACCTTCTTCAAATAGCAGTCCCTAAAATCAACCAGCCCCACCTATGTCCTCAGGCCCATTTTCACCTTTTAATTCCCAATCTTCCACTTCAGATGCCTTGGGTCTTCAGACCAATGCTTGCTAATGCCTCACAATGTCCCCTCCACCAACCGCATAAAACCCCACACCTGAAATAAGCCTGAAAACTCAGGTTCGCCCCACTCACCCCCCCCCCAACACACACACTTTCTCTCTCACCAAAAGATTCCAGAAACTCCCACCTCTCAAACTAAATTCTCTTGATCTGCCTGCCTCCTTATCCTTAGATCAGTTAACTCTATACTCTGGACTCACATCACATACCTCCCCCCTCAACCAGACCTCATCTCTCAACTCAGCCACTTATATATTTCCACTTAGACATAAATAACCATCTAAAACCTAAGTCCAAAAAAGAACTCTTGCTTCGGGCGCCTGGGTGGCTCAGTTGGTTAAGCGACTGCCTTCGGCTCAGGTCGTGATCCTGGAGTCCCGGGATCGAGTCCCGCATCGGGCTTCCTGCTCAGCAGGGAGTCTGCTTCTCCCTCTGACCCTCTTCCCTCTCATGCTTTCTATCTCTCATTCTCTCTCTCAAATAAATAAATAAAATCTTAAAAAAAAAAAAAAAAAAGAACTCTTGCTTCTTCACTCACCCCACTATCTCAGTCAATAAATGGCAATTCCATCTTTCCAGCTGCTCAAACCAAGGAAACCTTAACGCCATCCTTGTGTTCTCCCTCTCATACCCCACACACTGTATCTTCAGCAAATCCCGTCCCCTCCCGCACCTTGAAAATATATTCAGAATATATATTTGTCCCCTTCTCTAGAGTTTGAAGCCACCATTACCTATGTCCCAAGGGGATTATCATCACGGTCTCCTAACCAGAATCCTCATCTCTACTTCTGCCCGCTCCAACCTACTCTCCCCACAGCAAGAGTGATCCTTTTAAAATGTAAACCTGGGGCGCCTGGGTGGCTCAGTTGGTTGGGCGACTACCTTTGGCTCAGGTCATGATCCTGGAGTGCCGGGATCGAGTCCCGCGTCGGGCTCCCTGCTCAGCAGGGAGTCTGCTTCTCCCTCTGACCCTCTTCCCTCTCGTGCTCTCTCTCATTCTCTCTCTCTCAAATAAATAAATAAAATCTTTAAAAAAAAAAAAAAATGTAAACCTGATCACGTTACTCCTAGGCTCAAAACTCTCCAGTGGGTTTCCCAGAACACTCAGTATAAAAAAGCTACTCCAAATCAAATGAGTAGCTTTTGTTTCTTTCTCTCACTTGCCAAGCATGCTCCGGCCTCCAGAATTTTACACCAGCTGTTTTCTCTCTGCTAGCAAAGTTCTTTCACATGGCTCTTTTTCCTTCATACAGGTCTGAGGCTCAATGTTACCTCTTCAGAGGTCTTCCCTGGCCTCCCTATCAAAATGGCTCTCTCACCTCAGCATCCTTTATTGATGCTCCTACCCTGCTGTATTTCTCTCCCTCGCACTCGCATTACCTATCATATTATTTCTTTATGTTTATTGTTTCCCCCACCAGAAGGTACACTCCATGCGGGCAAGGAGTCCGTCCAGTTCACTAATATATGCTCAGTGCCTATAACAGTGCTTGTGGCAGGTGCTCAATAAATATTTGATCTAATCAATCACCTCTTTCAAAGACCTCATCCCCTCCGATAACTATTCAGTACCCAAGGTATACCCAACCCTAGTGCCCAGTCCTCTCCAGACACACCCAAGTAACTAGGCATAAGCAACCTCTTCGGGTAGCTCCAACCCCTGAGCTCCCCGGGCCTCTCAAGATTCTCAGTTGAAATAACTTGCTCCCAAACTCCTCAAAAACCCTCATTCTTTCAAATTGGCCCACCGTTTCGAAGCCACAAGAAGGTAAGCTCGCCCGTGTTCGGTGGGCCAGTCTCCCCGGCGTCCAGCAGAGAAGAGGTTCCCACAATCTACGAATGAATGAACTACGCCCCCACTTCATCCTTCCCTTGCATCCTCCTACTCCCTAAGCGCCCACCACCACCACTCCCTTCGGGCGTCTGCGTCCCTGAGTTTGAGTCGTCCTGATCCCTCAGGGCCCCCCACCGCCCCTTCCAGAGGCCTCCCTCGGAACGACCCTCCCCCCACCCTGGGAGGTCCCCCCTCCCCACATCTTCCAGAAACACCCCTAACCAACCCCTCCAGTCCTCTCAAGGCCACCCTCCCCGGGCACAGACTTCCCGCCTCCTCGCTTCAAAATCAGACTCTCCGGCTCCGTGAGGGTCGCCAACGCCTCAGGCCGGGCGCCCCCTCCAGACCCTCAGCCCCACAAGCCGCTCGGGCCCTGACCGTTTCTGGGCCTCCAATCCCCACAGACGGATCTGCCGGTCATACTGCGCCGCCTCCTCCTCGCTGATGCCGCCGCCAGCCTCCTCCTTCTCCACCATGGCGCCGGCTCTAGCTGCCTGCACTCGGGTCCTGCCCACGGTAACCGCCCGCCGGCCCCACGCGCCGCCAACCGCCGCCAGCCGCACGCCCGGGCCGCCTCTGCGCCTGCGCCAGGGGCCGCGCCTGCGCAGGACCTCCTCCACGGCCCGGCCCGCCCCGACCACGTGGACCTCCCCAGCCTCAAAGGCGGGCCGGCGGGACTGCCAGTCACGTGACGGGGCTCCAGCCAATCCTGGCCCCAAAATGGCGCGTTTTAACGCCCTGAGACGATAGATGCTCAAGTGGTGATTTCTGGGGCTATTAATTCGGCAAATATTTATCTAGCACTTGCTGAAATCCCGGCATTGGGGGTTTTGAAATAGAGCAGCGAATAAAAGAGACAAAGCCCTGCCCTCATGGAGCCTAAGTTCTATTGAGGGGTGCCCACAGAAGAATAGAAATCAGGGGCGCCTGGGTGTCTCAGATGGTTAAGCGTCTGCCTTCGGCTCAGGTCATGATCCCAGGGTCCTGGGATCGAGTCCCGCATCGGGCTCCCTGCTCCTTGGGAGCCTGCTTCTCCCTCTGCCTCTCTCTCTCTCTCCGTCTCTGTCTCTCATGAATAAATAAAATCTTTTTAAAAAAAAGAAATCAGGCCGTGTTAAATGCTGTGGATAAAAATAAAGGCGGATATGGGATTACAGGGTTGCAGGAATGGCCAGAGAGAAGGTCTTTCAGAGAAAGTGATACTGAACAGAGATCTGAAGGGACCGAATGAACAAGCCATGTGGATAACTGGGAGATGGAGCATTTCCAGTCAGGGCAAACAGCAGGTGCAAAGGCCCTGAAGCTGGAATGTGCTAGCATAGCTGAGGAACTGTGGGGAGCGCAAGGTGGCTGGAGCAGAGCGAGAGGATGGGCAGGTGGTAAGAGGTGAAATCGTAGATGAAGCAAGTGGGCCTTCCTGTAGGGCCTCGTAGGCTAGTATAGCCTTAGGCAAGGTGTCTTTTTTTAAGACCCATTCAACAAGTACTTACTGAGCACTCGTTATGCGTCAATCATTGATCTCAGTGCTAGGCCAGGTAGAGCACTGAAATAAGAAAAAAATAACACTGCCTTCTCACGGAGTTAAAATGGATTTTATGTGAATTCTTTCTCTAATCCTTATGAGATTAGTTAGGTTTTTTGATACTGCTATTTCGTAGCTAAGGAGTCTGAGGTCCAGCACAGTTCAGTAGCCTGAACAAAGTCTTATATCTTAGAAGTAGTGAAACTAGGATTCAAACCCACGCAGTGTGGCCCACGTGCTTCATCAGGAGGTCATACTGCTGGTGGTACATTAGGCTTCTACCATGTGCTCCGACCTTGCCTCTGAGGTACATACTCTGTGAACCTCAGAGATGGATATTTCATCCCCTCTTACAGATTACAACCCTGGGACTCAGAAAGGGGTAGGAATTCATCCAAGATCACAATATCCCTCCAAAAAAAAAAAAAAAAGTTTGGCCAATGCTTACTCTTGGTTATGGACTTGGAACAAATTATGTAAAAAATTAGGGACTTAAACAACAATAAATATTTGTTCTCTCTTATAGTTTCTGTGGGTCTGGGATTCAGAGCAGCTTGTCTGGGCTGTTCTGGCACAAGGTCTTTCATGAGGATGCAGTCAGATGCCAGCTGGGGCTATAGTCATCTGATGGCTTGTGATGGAAGATCCCTTTCTGAGGTGACTCACTCCAATGGTTAGCAAGCTGATGTGGGCTGATGGCTGGGGACCTCAGTTCCGCTGCACATGGGCCTAACCGCTGGGCTGCTGGAGTGTTCTCATGACATGGTGGCTGGCTTCCCCCAGAGTGAGTGATCCATGAGAGCAAGGTGAAAGCAGCAATGCCTTTTATTTTATTTTTTTTTAAGATTTTTTATTTCTTTATTTGACAGAGAGAGACACAGCGAGAGAGGGAAAACAAGCAGGGGGAGCGGGAGAGGGAGAAGCAGGCTTCCCGCTGAGCAGGGAGCCCGATGCGGGGCTCAATCCCAGGACCCTGGGATCACGACCTGAGATGAAGGCAAACGCTTAACGACTGAGCCACCCAGGCGCCCCTTACTTTATTTTTTAAAAAGACTTTATTTATTTGAGAGAGCTCATGAGCAGGGGAGGGGCAGAGGTAGAAGCAGACTCTCCGCTAAGCAGGGAGCCCAATGCTGGGCTGGGCCCCAGGACCTGGGATCATGACCTGAGCTGATGGCAGACACATACCAACTGAGCCACCCAGGCACCCCAGCAATATCTTTTATAACTCAGCCTTGGAAGTCACACACTGCCACTTCTGTAATATTCCACTGATCACACACAGTTGTATTCATTGTAGGAGAGGACAATACAAGGGCATGAATATGGTGAACAGAAGAAACATGGATCCACCCTGTGTTGTGCTGACCAGCTAATAGGGAAGACAGGAAGTATTTTATCAGTATTTACTAAATATTCTCGAAAAATATTTACCATATCCCTACTATGTGTTTGACTTTGTGCCAGGCCCCGGGGTTACAATCATGATAAGAATGGACATACTCCTGCTTTAGGGACACTCATAATCCAGTGGGAGAGATAAAACAGTCACATAAATAGAAACTCCCCGAAGTGCTGTGAAGGAAAAGAAGAAAGAGCTATGACATGTTTGACTTAGCGTTGGGTCAGAAAAAGGATATTCTGAGAATGTAAACTTTCTGCTGAGCTTTACAGAGTAAATAAAGTTTAACAAAACACAGGAAGAACCCCAGGCAGAGAGGACGGCTGCACCTGCTGTGACTCAGAATTTAAGTTCATTCTCTCTCTCTTTTTTTAAACATTTTGTTTATTTTTTTGAGAGAGAAAGAGAAGGGGGGGCAGACAGAAAGGGAGAAGCAGGCTCCCCACTGGGCAGGGAGCCCATCGAGGGGCTCAATCCCAGGATGCTGGGATCATGACCGGAGCCAAAGGCAGACACTAACTGCTTTACCAACTAAGCCACTTAGGTGCCTCTCATTGTGACTCTGCCTCCTTGAGGGTATCTCCTTGACCCTTACTCCTTCACCCCCACACACTCTGTGCGAAGTTTAAAACAGGTCCACAAATCTGGGGCACCTTGCTGGCTCAGTTAGTGGAGCATGCAACTCTTGATCTGGAGGTCATGAGTTCAAGCCCCATGTTGTGCCTAGAGCTGATTTTATAAAAACTAATAATAAAAAATAAAACATGCCCACAAATCCTTTGATATTCTTCAATGATATTGAGTGGGGGGAAACAATGTCCCCTGTCCTTGAATCTGTACTCTGTGACTGCTGATCAATAGAACAAGATGGAAGTGAACGCTGAACCAATATCTACATCCAGGCCTTAAGAAATGTGCAGCTTGGGACACTCGGGTGGTTCGGTCAGTTAAGCGTCTGCCTTCGGCTCAGGTCACGATCCCGGGGTCCTGGGTTCGGGCCTGGGATCGTGTCC